TAACAACAATTTTTTTAGTCAAATCTCAATTTTTTCTTACAATTATTTCACCCTAGGCAAGTAGGGATATACCTACAGAATTCACAACATAAAACTCAACATATCGTAGGCAGCGGCAGCGATTCGCGGTTAAGGCCAATTACTTAATTACTCACTGTGTCAGTGTATCAGTCACCTTCGCTGCGTCGGTACGGAATGTACGTGTTAATTTGATTTAAAATCGCGCCACGCAGTGCCGACATTCTACGTCGCTTTAGGTTGTAGTTTTGGTGCGAGTGTATTTAATTTGTAATTATGTCCTACATAAACGTGCAGTGGAAATGTGCCTCTTCGTTCACTGAGAAACCTCTACTACCAACATGACGGTGCCCCTGCACATTTTCAGTTGCAAATCAGGGCTATGCTGGTTGAGGAGTTTCCTGGGCGATGAACCGACCTTACCCCGCTGGACTTTTATCTTTGGGGAGAAGTGAAGTGCCGAGTGTATGCAACTAAGTTCCGTAATACGTCCGAACTCAAAAGGCGAATTCTTAGTGTATTTAGAGAAATGACACTGTTGTGCTTCTAGCTTTTACGATTAATGTAAAAGCTGATCAAAATGGAATTCATTTACGAGGATTTTATTTAATAGGTAAGTGTAAATAACCAATCAATCAGGCTACACATCAAGCTGTACAAATCCTTTGTCTTGGCCTCGCTTTGTATGATCTTTCGGTACAATGAACGATCAGCTTATGCATCAAATGCCCTTTGCGTTCCAGGGCCGCGGTACGGTATACGGTAAATACGCCAAAAATCCTACCAAATGATTTACTATTTACTATTATTAATGTTTAATTTTCTTTGTTGTTAAATCTAACTTACATTAATTTGGACTCGTCACGCAACACAAAGGGTAGGAATTTTTATCTGTCCTAAGCAAGTGTTATGTGTACCATTGTGTTTATATTGAAATGTTGTGTAGGTAGCAAGGGCGGGCGGTGATCTTTACAGTGATTACGTCACTCGAGCGCATAGGGTATCCATGAATTTACGGACGGTGTCGGACAGAAACTTTTTTAACTTTATAAAAGAAAATAGCGTTTTTTTTTAAATCAGATAAATATTTTTATATTAAAGCCAACCACCTATGGTTTCAGTGACAACGGTGTTTACACTTACACACTGTATATCAAACTGGATGAAATTGAAACAGCGGTAGCTTTTAGTAAACTAGGAACATTGCATCAGTCTATTATTGACATCGATGAACTCTTGTCATTGTTAAAAATTATTGAACGAAGAAATTATCTTGTATTTCCTGTAAAAGTAGAAAATATTTTTAAATTAGAGCAAAGTATAGATTTAAAAGTATATGCAAAGAAAAATCAAATAACCTTTATTCTAGATATACCCCCAGTTGATTCGAATACATACCTACATATATTACAAAATTCTTCCTTTACCTAGCACTAATTCCATGAACCAAACATACCTTATTGTACCCAAATACCCCTACCTTCTGATGAAAGGGTTGAAAGCTGTGTCACTTCTTCACCCATGTAGAGAAATTGATGACTCATTGTTCCTGTGTGAAGAGGATTATTCATTTATGTTAATTAAAGATAATTGTGTTACCCGCGTAATGAGTTTTGCAGCTAACACCACCTCATGCCGGCCCCTATTAGTAGAGTTTGATGATGTGAAGATAACGAAAATAGAAACCGATCAATGGTTGTTCTATTCAAAAACTACAGTATTACTTACCAAACAATGTGGAAATGAAATAACACACTATAATTTAATTGGGACATATACGAGTATAATCTCACCCGACGACAACTGCGAATCTAAAATTAAGGGATTCAGTCTGAAAAGGCATCATGAAAATATAGAGGAGAACCCGTTAACTCCCTTACCAATAATAAATCTTCCGGAAACACCACAGTTGTTAATGAAGACATCTTCAAATCCAGCAGCAGTAAACCTGGATGACGTGGACCTGACCAATCTACAGCAGCTAAACCACGTATTAACCAGTGATAGTGTAAAAAGTGAGCAAAGTGGAAGAGTCATAAATGTGAAGGACATAAGTATCGGGACATTAATTTTAGTTATAATAATTGTAATCCTATGTAAAAAATATTTGTATCGAAATTATCGGACTCGGAAAACTTCGCCCGGTAATTTAGAATCTGAGGGGGGAAGAGTTATGCATCCTGGTATTCACGGAACTGCACTGGAGACCATAACAATTCAAGCGGAAGCGTGGGCATAGATTGCTGAATAGCAAGACGGATCTGGAAAACGGATGGTCTTTCCTGTGCATACTGATAACTGTTCTTTAGCTTAAAGATCTAGAATAAGAATTAGGATAGTCTTAGTTTGGCTCGCACATGTATCGGACATGTAGCCTTAGGTTAGAATCCATCGCGGATTAATTAAGTAGTATATAAGTAATGTATCGCACATTAATAGTTATAAGTTTATTATTAAAATCTTTTTAAAAACGTCCTGAGTCAATTTCGAATCTTGACTAAATATTAGTCATAATAATTAGTCGCAGGTTTGTTATCGCTCAGCGCGTTCACTCGCTACTTTGGTGGGGAGTGGTTGTGTCGGCGTGTATAAATAGCAGCTGTTTCGGCTCGCCACTCATTTAGCGGTCAGTCGCCGTAGAGTCTACATTACCTGAAGATGCCTCGTGTAGAGGCGAAACACGTGTTGTATTGTCGTCGATGGTGTGTCTTACCTGGAATAGTGGTGTTGAAAGTAGTGGTGCTGGGACTAGTGGTGACGGAGTTAGTGCATGCGATTGAGGGAGGGTGGGAGGTACTCTTCAATCCATGTAAGACACATCATTGTAATTGGTTAGCGGAAGGTTGCAAAGTAATAAATTATTTATTAAAATGGATTTCCGCAAAGTAACGCCTGATTCTATCAATTAGACTCCGAGTGGTTTAGTGGTGGAGAAATGAAACTACTATTTTATGTACAGACGAACGGTATATGGAATATGTAATATATTTTTACGTCAACCCTGCCCATATTTATATGTCTGGCTACGTCGCTAGTTTACCAATAATAACAATTTTTATTTGCCTAGCCAATTACAATTCTTACATTATGACCAATAAAGATTAATCAAAATACACATATTATGTGCGTTCCATTTGCCGGCGTGAGACTCGTGTATATCTTTTCGTAGCTACGTCGCTGGACTGGGCTATAAAAGTTGTGCAGACCGGCGCGCGCGCGTAGTCGGCGAGCGGCGGCGGCGTCGGACATAGCTCCGGAACGGCAAGAAGAAGCGAAGCTGCGGCGTTGAAGAAAGGCTCAAAATGGTCGACGGATACATAACGATAGCGGCGTGTGAAGACGATGTGGCGCTGAATGATATTTGCGGCTGTTTCTTTATTAGAACGTCAAATTATCTCGCATCGATATGCAGCCCGCAGTATCTCAGTAGCCGAAGGATAATTAGAAAATAAATGTTTTCTTCGCCTTCTGTGTTATGGCAGCAGGGTATATATTATTTAGGGTTGATTAGCCTGGCTGCTACATAGACTATATATGGTCTAAGATCATAATCTGCCTGAAGTGGCAAATAGTGAATCGTAACAACAAACGCAATATCCTTGGCTCGGGGAAATTTGCAGGCAACTTGACCACTGATTTTTTTATCCGCTGAGGCATCTTAAGATATTATTTTCATCAACTTTAAGCTTGCGCCAAAGGCTTAATGTTGCGAGCGTGAACAACATACAAATCAGATGCGACTGTATAGACTGAAGCGTACATTACATGCTCACGCAGGCCGTCAGTTTTACAACAATCACGCTTGTGATTGACGATTAACCTACCGTAAAATGCAATGATTGATGCATGCATGAGCGCGTAATGTACGCCTATCAGTCACCACCCTTTTTTATAAAGCATGATTGATGGAATTGATTGACGCCTGCTTGAGCGTGTAATGTATGCCTAAGACATTTGCTTGCTATAAATGGTCAATCGTAACAACGACAAAAATAACTTTGGTTTGGACTATGGAGCTTAGAGAACAGGAGAACGATCGCTGTAGAAAATAGTGTCCCAAAATATGGACCAAATGAGTGAGGCGCTGCAATTGCTAAGTTGTCTCAATAAAAGCGGGCTGTTGTGCGCTAGTTTCAAATGTATATAATATCATTCAAAGAATAAGAAATTATTATTATTTATCATTATTATTAATAAATAAATTATAAATTATGTTTTTTATAATTTTAACTGTTATAAATATTACAAATCATTACAAATATAAATTATTAATTTTATTAATTCATTATTTTTGTTTTTAATAATATTTTACCATTTTATAATGTTTCTTTTTGTCAATAATTAAAAAAATTACTTCGCAGATACTAGGTACTTACCGACGGCAGCGCGGCTACAAATTCTACAAATTTTCAGGGACAGGCGGGCTATGTTTTAGCACGTAGCAATCGTTCTGCTGTTCTCTAACCTCCATGGTTTGGACATTGACGTTTTGACAATGGGGGTTTTGGCGGGAACTTGGCCGAAGACGGATTGTCGCTCCTGTTTTGTCGCTTTAATAATGGTTTCAAGTGGATTTTAATTCGTAAAAGTGATGTTATTTTGTGAATTAAGTGTCTGCACGTGTCAATTATTAGAGAAAACGACGAAACAAGTGCTTTGATGTTGATATAAACCTCAAGTTAATTTGATCGCTTGGGCTCCTTATGAACTTGAGTGGCTGTCGTCTACAACAGTCTATCGTCAAAATCTCCCAAAAAATTCGCAATGTGACACATCAGCATATTGTGAAGAAAAAATATATAAAATGAAGATTCTGAATGAAATAATAGGCTCAGAAGGGCTAGTATCCATAGCCTTAAAGCCAGTTAAATAAAAATAACGTTTTGACAATGACAGTGACATTGGTAATTGGCATTCAGGCATTCGTCCCTCTTGCAATTGCAAATACTATGAGTTTCAGCAGGAGTTTTTACTTTTCAACCATGACTTATACTAAAATGTACAGATTGATTCAAGTTTTGCTTTTTATGTCCTTATATTTAATGCAAATATCTAACGGTTCGTATTTAAATTGTATTATTACGTCCATTCTGTTTAAATAAACTGATAAGAATTTATACTAATACACGTTTAGTTTTTACACTTACGTGGCCCTATGATAGGGGAGGATATATTATATGTTTTTCTTATTTTGTGAATTAAATACAAATAAAAATTAATACTAACATTTTGATCTGTATTTTAGGTTCCAAAGCCGAATTTGTAACTTGCGGTACAATTTTAAAACTAATAAACACTGACTTGAAGTTGCGGCTTCACTCTCATGATGTTAAATACGGTTCAGGTTCTGGACAGCAATCCGTAACTGCTGTTGACGTATCCGACGATAACAATAGTCATTGGCTAGTGAGGCCAGCCATGGGGGAGACTTGCAAACGAGGGTGAGTTCTTGCTGTAGTAGGTACATGGAACTACTTTTATTTTATAAAATAAGGGTGACAAGCACACAGTCAGGCTCATGGTAAATAGTTGCTGTCGCCCGTAGACATCTACATCTACCCTTGACTATGAATCAAAATGCAGATGGGTTGTCACCCGTGTGGATAAAGATGGAATGCCTCCTTTCTCATAAAAGGGGTAAGGTTTACAATTCAGTCGCCTGAATTAGGGGGTGGGGGTAGTGTCGGGGGAAGGGGAGGAGTTCCTCTTCCTGCCGGACTAGCTTAGTTTTTTATACATTTTTAAAAATTTGACTGAGGTTATGTTTCGTAATTTTTATGACAATTTTAACCTGATTTATGGAGAGAGAGAGTTGGGGGACGGAAGCTCCATGCCACTTAACGTGGTGAAGTCGAGGGAAGCCTGGTGGACGGAGCCCCACTTCGCGGGGCTCCTACTTCTGAGTGGTTTATAAAAAAATTACCACGAAGAGGATGATGGGTCTATTCGCTCGCTCACTCTACCTTTATCCTCTTCTAACCTAACCTGTCCGAGTCCGGGTGCCCCACGTCCCAGGCTCGCTTCGCAAGCTATTGCACTCAATATAACACAGAAATATTAATTCTTATAACTACTTCAATTTAAAAACATAATTTATGGCTGCCACCATTTATAAGAAAGGATCATTGCGATATTGAGCAGTATTCCGCCGCCACAAATATTCCACTATTCACCAAAATTCTGACTCACAAGCAATGGCATGACGAAAAGCTGTCTACAAAATAGCCGGCCTAGCAATTAATTTTACACATTTTTAAATCGATTCAAATTGAAATTGGATGAATCGATTCACAAAAAATTGAAATCTTAAAGATTGATTTCGCAAAATCAATCTTTTTTTGATTTGCGTTAAAAGTTTATATTTACATTATCAAAAGATACAATAAAGTACAGATTACATTGAATGATTGAATTGAAAAACTGTCATTCTTTACAAGTTGGGGTACATTCAACTAATTAAAAATAATTTTCTAAATCTTAATAAAACAGAAAAAGATTTGATCTCAATTGTTTAGGGTGAAATATTGATTCACTAGATCGATTCAGTACTATATATTGATATGACATTGACAGATGAAACGTCAAAAACGTAATTAATTAGTCATTTACCAATAATTTTAAAAATTAATTAAAAATACTTCGATGCTGCTCCGGCAGCAAAATCGAGTGGGGGTGCTTCAGATAAACCCCCTTGACCCCCCTACAGTGACAGAATCTTCAAATTCGGGCGACCAAATTGTAAACCCAACCCCATAAAAGAGGTCTCCCATTCTCTACACTTACCATATGAAATACAGAAGCAATAAGCTGCTATTTTATGCTGTGAGAGTTTGGTCCTTGAGTCAACTAATTCATGCTATAACTATAATACAAATTTTTATTATTAGACATTCGATTTTTGATTTATTTACAATGCAATAATATTTTGCCACTTGTAAATTATTAAATGCCGTAAGTCATACATTATGGCATTTGAAAATTGTATGACTCGTTTTAACTGGGAAGTTAAAACTAGTCATACAATTATATATATAATAATACCTAGAATTTATGTATTGAGTGTAATAATAAGCAAACAAACTTAAGTAAGAATTTTTTTACCTGATGTATCTAGTCCTGTATTTGACGTGTTTGTTGTACTTGTCTTTAAGTGAAACTATAGTCCGTTTGCATTAAGAAAATAGTGAGTCATCAGTGCAACTACAGGGTAAAGGTGTATTCACAGTGGAGTAAAAATTCTTTTTTTTTTTCAAACATTTAATTAAGTTTAATGGAAACAAATTTTCTGAAAATTAAATAACTAATCAGTATCTCTAGATTCTCCAGTTATATTAATTATGAAAGAAGTTTGTTCTGCAAGTTCCATGATGTCATCCAAATTCCACATGGTATTTTCTTCGCATATCACGTGGTCGCAGCTTTTCTTCCAACGATTAGCGTCTATTGATGCTATTGCATCATCTAATAATTTTTTTATGTCACTCATTTTGAACGTGGAGTTATTGGCACCAACATAATTTTTATTTGGGCCCAAACCAATTCAATTGGATTAAGTTTGCAATGGTAAGGCGGTAGGCGAAGAATTGTAATGTCCTATCTGCTATGGATTATTGATCCACTTTTATTCTTTCGAATAGGTGAGGTATTCATTTTCAAAATTTAATGTTGAACGAGTAACACGCAAAATGCACAACCGTTTTGTTCGAAGGCCTGACTTCAACTGGTCACTGTGAACTCGACTTTCTAATTTCTTGCATTTTAATTGGCTGGGGGGCGAACGCGAACGGACTATATAAACTTTTAATTAGTAGGGTCTTTCTAAGAATCAGTGAATGGTCACAAATTACTTTAAGAATTTGCACATGCAGCATGATTTATTGCATCCATTATGTAAAAATCTTTTAAGTTGTTGTAAAGGTGCTGGGTAGGCAGCATAAAGTGTAGATTCAGTACCTAAAATTTGAGTTCTGCAAATTCTACTTTTATTTCTCTATTTCTCCCAGGGTTGTCTGGCAGAGATTGGCACTAAGCGTTAAGTCCGCCCATTGTAGCCCTTACTTTAAGGTGTTTAAAAATAAGGATTAAATAAATATATAAATAAAATGTGTAGGTATATAGTATATAGAATAGACAATGCTAAAAAACAAAATTGCACAAAAAACCCTTTTTCTTTTGGACATATAGTTAATCGCAAGTGTTGTAGTACTTTTCCGATGAAAGAGCAGAATATTTGAATGACCTGGATTGGAAATGCGATAGTACAACTGGTGTTTGAAGTGACATGCCAATACTGCCACTAAAAGAAAAAAGCATACTTCATGCATGAGGAGGCAAGGGACAACAGGAACAGGTAGAATCAGGTGGCCATATGCTGATTCCAAATGGATTCTGGCAGCGTTCTTACCGTCTAGGTCAATATTAGAAAAAAACAAGTTTTTCAGGCCAGACTCAAGCCAATCAGGAATTAACAGTTGCTCAACAAGAACAGGAAGTCTCTCATAATAAACAATCATCCGCTCGGTAAAACTAGATCATCCATCAAGACTACATATTTATTAGACATGAAATAGCTACAAGACTTTAAACGCTCAGTGATAATGTGAAAAGTTGAGCCTTAAGATGTAGTAGGGCTGCTAGCACATGCAGCTCGCTTATAGAACTCAGTGACAAGATTGTGTTCAAGCATCTACGTAAACACTTCTAGAATGGGCTGATAAAAGGTTGTTTTGTCGCACCATGTGTTAGACCTGTTTGTTATGGAGGTGACTTACTTCAAGCTTTTGTTGACGGCATTCGAGACATGGGGATTCAGGCAGCTGTACCATGAGACCACCATCAATCTCTAATGAGCGCAATGGCGCAAATGGCATATCTTATTGATAAAGAAGCTCCGTTACGGTCTGACATGCTACGAGTGCGGTTAAAGGGACATATCAAGCTAGATTGCCTGAACGAACTGTGTCAGTATTTTACGATACAGACATTGAAGTTAAAATTGGGGAACGAACATACACTGTGTACTGATTGCCGGTATTAACGACAACTGCATCTTTGGACTGGATTTCTAAAAGTATCAGCGGTGCATTGTAGATATTGGTCAAAGAGCTCTCAAATTTCCTGATTAAGAAGTGTTTCTAGGAGGAACAAGCTCTGTTAACGTTTGCTGTTTAAAAAATATTCCCTATTACCAAGGCCAGACAATATTGTAATGGCAAAAATACCAGCTAAAGTTAAGAAGGGCATTGTTGTAGGCACTGAAAATAGGGTTAACATAGAAGTGAAAAAGACCACAATTTTGCCGACAACTAGTCAAAGAGACCTTTCTCTGAGAGGGCTAAGCATTGCATGAAACCTGAGTCTCAAAAATATATTATGAGACATGAACTTCTGATTAGTAAGTGAGTGAAAGTTCATTATGTTCGGAGAGCAAACACTAATGAATTTGATGTGGTATGCTTGTCATGCCTTTTCTCCTTTGGACCTATGGTTAATCATGAGTGTTCTAGTATTTTTCCATTTAAAGTCAATGTCAAATATTTTTATGCAAAACTGACTTTTACAAAGTATATTTTGTAAGCTAAGCCATCACTTTATTAAGTCACAAGTGGACTATTTTTCTTCCAACAGATACAATTTTTTATCTTATAAAGTATACTATATAGTTTTACTTAAGTAAAAAGAAGTAGTATACGAGGGTGGATTGAAAAGTACTCGGCCTAACACAGATCCATTCAATTCTAAAAATCAAATCTACCCACATTATTTAGTTCAGTTCAGACTAGTTCATTGTGTGAAGTTCGAAACGTGTGCGATAATTAGTTGTGATTTTATAAATTTATTAACAAAGTAATCGGACATAATTTCCGCGAATGTAGCAAATCGAGCAGCGTGCCGTCATTAAGTACCTCCATAAGAAGGGGCTATCATCAAAAGCCATCCATGATGACATGGTCAGTACATTAGGCGATTGTGCTCTGTCATATTTATCCGTCAAAAAATGGATAGCAGAATTTAAGCGTGGTAGAGAGAGTGTGAAAGATGAACCCCGCTCTGGAAGGCCTTCGACGTCAACTACTGACGAAAATATTAAAAAAGTACTTGATTTAATAATGGGAGACCGCAGATTAAAAATTAGAGAGATAGCCGAGATTATAGGCATCTCTTATGAACGAACTCAAAACATCATTGTCAACGAGTTGGGTTTCCACAAGGTGTCTGCGAGGTGGGTTCCGCGACTGCTTTCAGTTGAACAAAAAAGGACGCGATTGACTATTTCACGCGACTGTTTGGAGTTATTTGAAGCCGATTCAGATGATTTTTTGAATCGTTTTGTTACTATGGACGAAACATGGGTTCATTACTGTACACCGGAAACAAAACAACAATCAAAACAGTGGAGAAGACTTGGTTCACCACCCCCTAAAAAGGCTAAGTCGATTTT